TATATATATATATATATATATATATATATATATATATATATAAACTTGCAGTTATGCAACATAATATAATCAATCTTCCGTCTTCATACCACGATCTCCACACAAATCCTGACCCTCTCCAGCTATCATCTGCGAAGTACCAACGCTGCACCAACGCATCGATTTGTCGTAAGGGCGCATTATATGCCCATAATCTGTTCCTTGATTCGAGCTTACCAAGTGCGGACTACCGGCTATTAGCAGTGTAAGCCCGCTTCAGCCATGTAAACACACCAAGACGAGGGGTCACAGTCAGATTACCCCTTCCGGTCTAAATTCAAACTACCCGCAGGCCGCCCACGTCAAGAGGGCAATCGATTTCGGGCGTAGTCGGTGGGGGGGGGGGGGGGGGCGTTCCCATCAACAGGAAAGGGACAAACGCACCATCCAGCGTCAGGTTACCCCTCTTTTTGGAAAAGCAGACATCCCATTTTTAGGGACTTTAAGGATTGAGGAGACTACCCTGCACATAACTGATGAACACAACTCATTTTGAAATGCGCAGAATCCTGCCAAAGACGACGGGCGTGTAAACATCGCGGTAACTATCATTTTGCAGTAATATAAATGTAATGATTGTCGTATAAATACCAATGTGTAAATTAAATATAATTTCGCCAAGCTAAAGATCAACGGCGGGGAGGTGTTCAGCTGAGAGCAGCTGACTTCTAACCCCGGATGTACATAGAATGTTGCCTGCAGTGATGCGTGGCGGGGCGCGATCGATAGTCGTAATTGGTTAGAGTGATTATATATAAAACACAATCCTAATCGAGCAGATCATAATCGGTCCGTTACCTCAGTCCCACTCTTCGAAGGTTCCTACATCACTCGTGTTTCTACCGTTCTCCTACTTCTTCCTGTAGTCTCACGCTCATGCGTCTGCGCCACCTCAGACAGTGAACGTCTCGCTCGTTCCCTGGCTCCGCTCCATTTCGCAACGGTCAGCAGCTGGGCTTCAAACGCCTCCAGCTCGGATCCGAGGCGTTCGCCCTGAGCCGAAGCCGAAGTCGGCCACATCTGAACGTCTCGAGTCATCGTTTCTCCAATCCACGCCGGTGGGGGTGCGATTACTCCTCCCTGCCTCCGCCCGATCGTCGACAACCCCGTCACAAATCGCTAATCCGCAATAACGCCCGCCCGGCGACCGGCGAGGCGGGAGGCGGGCGAGCGGGCGGAGGGGGGAGGGGGAGGGGGGGGGGGCGGTGCGGCGAGCGGGGGAGGGGGGGGGGGGGGGGCTGCGCCACGGCCACCGCCGCAGCTCCCCTCCCTCGGGTCAGAAGCCTGTAAACCCGGCGGGCTTTGTCTCCCAGCCGGTAATGTGCGGGCCCGCCCTCCGGCCGGCCGCGCTGCAGATGGTATCGCCAGATGGAGCGGACCGGCCGACGCCACGCGCCGCGTGCTGGCTGTAAGGCCCAAGTGCCTCGATGACGCTCAGCCGGAGCCGGCCTGATCAAATCACGTGGCAGCGCAGACATCTCGGGGATTCATGAACCATTACTCAACTACTGCTGTAGATGTGACGGATAGCTCAATTCATGCCATGCTGCAAAACTTTCTGCCTCCGTGGCCTGTCTACTGACAAATCGATTAGACTTGGCCAAACAACTTCGAAAATCACTTCTTATTGATTTCGCTTCGCTTGTGTGCGAAGCTGGACTGTGCATTGGCACGTGACGCCTCTCTTCTGTCATGAAATGATGGCTTGCCGTATACTGTTGGATAGTACATGCTACAAGACCAAAGCATTAAGCATACATTATCAATTACTGACATTGCCATTGACCCTCATGGTTTAAAGGGACTGTTCCACATTTGAGATAGCGAGGCAAGCGTCAGATGTAATGGATAAGCTCACCTGTATCAAACTTCATCTTACTTTAAGCTATTGGTAAGTTTAGAAGTCCAAAAGACTGCTCTTAATGCCATGATTACAATATTCATTAAATATTTTCTTCAACACGTCATCGTCAACTCATGTCATGGAACGTTTTTATTACGTCACAGCTGTTGCCAGACTGGCTTTGTCCAGATGCCATGGTACGGACGGTGTGACTAATTCGTGTATTCGATTTTCAGCCTCATCTCTGTAATAACTAATAGTTGTTCAATGTCTGAGCTATGTATCACAAAAACGCGATTTGTGATCGAGACATGCTCGCACCAACGCCATCTGACCATCAGTCAATCCGATCAGCTTTTATCAGCCTTCTGTCGCTGGTGCACTTGGTGCTGAATCACTGCAATCACAAATATCCCAGCGACCATATTTTCTTAGCCATGAACACGATACAGCCAAAGAGATGGGGGGGAGGGGAGGGGCGGGGGAATTCGCGTGATATTGTAATGACGTCATACATACCTGGTTAATTTGTAAAGGCACGTGTTGCGGCTATATCGATCATAGGTATGGAATATTGGATTGAGTGCATGATGTACTGTATATAGGGTCGTTACTGCTGCAGTGGCATGTACCACGAACACAGTTGAAAGTGAGCACTAATCGGCCGTTTTGTTATCGACATAAAAGTTCATGCTTAAAGCACCTTACGCGTGTTACGAAATCGCTCATTGGACTATTCCAATTTCGTATGAGATTTTTGGACTGAGATATCCATATTCGTGACAATGCACTGCAGTTCATAGCCGTACCGTCTTGAAGAATTATAACCCTGTTATTTCTGAGCTAAACGTACGCAAAACTGTGTAACGCAATTTGCGCTGTCAATTTGAAAGTGGGTCAGTATCGGTTGCTCTCATGTTTGCAACACAAATGTATAGTCACCTCTAATGAATCAAAACCTATAATGCTTCATAGCACCTAAGGTATCGAAACGCCTCATGTTTCATAACAGACCCCTAAGATATTGAAATACCTAATACTTTATTGTACCTAATATGTCGCAGCTCATAACATAACTTCGCCGGCCGGCCCCCCGGCCAGCGAAGGGACAACAAGGTGCCCTAGAGTAGGGCGGGAATGCCGTTAATGAAGAACACTGAGTAGGAAAGGCACGCCATCAATGTAAAAAGCTAAATAGCAAACAGCGTAGAATAAGTGCTCAGGTGATAGAAAACCTGCCGCCTTCCAGTCTATACTCCACTTGTAAACGCGGGTCTGAAAAACAACCACCGAGGCATGGTGCGAGCGGTCTGGGCGGCTGGCGGCTGCCAAGCGATGGTTGCCCCAAGCGCAACGACGGACCTCCCGGCAAGACCGGTGCAAGACCACCGAAACTGCTCCAAATATAGCAAATATGAATACACCATTGTACAAGTGGTCTGGGTGGCTGGCGGTCGTCCATCCCGTTATTGTCCCACGTGCAACAACTTGTGCATTACATGCAAAACCACTTGCACTCGTGAAGTGGGACGGGTATACAAGCATGTAAAAAAGTTGGCAAGTGATGGCCTTTCCTTGGCTTTCGGGACTGCATTACAAACTTTTCATACCCCGAGATGTATGAGCGACAAGGCGGTAGCCCGGTTGAGAATCATCACTTGTCCAGTAACGTACCTCCCTGTAGACTAGCTGCAATAACCTGTTACAATGTGACTTGCCCATATGTACCAATGCAGGTTTTATTAACAGAGCTGTACCAAACTTCCGGCGAAATTTCTGGATTCGTCCTTGTATTCATGGCCAGCAAACGATGCTCAAAGAAGACAGTCTTGTGTGATGGTTAACTTTTGTGTCAGTCTGGCCAAAAACATTGGGCGGCCCCAAGCCAATATTGGAGGGGGGGGGGGGGGCGGCAACTCAACAACGAGGCTGCGTCCCTCACAAAAATATTCAAACCGAACCCAGTGTGTAACATGACATTTTTATGACCAAAGCGATGAAGTGTTTGGCACATGTATCCATATTTTATATGCATCTACGCGTTTCACGTTTCTGCTGATTTTGGCAGTCTTGAATATTGAAGGGAGGTCAGTTTTTTGACATGGAGCAATCTTGCGGAGGTCCCGGTCTCATAATGCGTATTTTGGACCGGAAAGCGACACCTTACGCACCGCGCACTTTGAACAGTCCCGCCGCATTCAGCGACAGCAGTTATTTGAATCGCCAGATCACCGTGCCGTGGACGGACGCAAAGGCGATTGCACTCTTTCTTCAACACGCACAAGCGTGCGATGTTATGATGTATATGATTGATATGATTGAGTTAGTTCTGAGATCTCAATAGATCTTCCAGAACAAAATGTTCAAAAATACAAGATCACACGAAATCCTGCTGCAAAATTTTAAAAAGATCTAAGTCTTAGGTCTTTCGACGAACCTTCATATAATATCCAGGGCGTCAAAAGATTTCGAACCCGAACCTAGGGGTCCGATCCTCGGATCATTTTCGGATCTTAGCACATGCTTGATTCAAATATCTACCAACAGACCACGGTTCTCTAAAGTCTCGTAAATTCGGCTTAACAGAGGCTGTGTGTCAAAGGAACAACTGGTGTGGTCTACGTCTGAAAGAAACCATGGCATAGTCCCGCAGCCCCCCCCCCCCCCCCCCGCCACCCCGAAAAACATTCCGCTGAAAAGGAGAAATCCGCTCATCAATGCGCATAGCGTGCCGCTTGGCCCTACTGTGCAGAACAGCTACGGCCGTGATAATGTTTCCCGGTGCAATGCTGCCGTGCCAGACCGCGCAGCACGAGCTCCGCCCCATGCCATATCTGTTCGCGGAAGACGCTGCTGCCGCCGGGAGAGGTCACGACTGCCGCGTGGAGGCCCTGCCCGGGGCCGGCCGACGACGGTGGCTGTCAGACTGTGGTGGGGATTGTAAAGGCGGTCGATGATGTGTCAGAAACATGCGACGGGGAAGGTGGACCATCAACGGCGTGTGAACTGGCCATTCAACGGGCAACGCTGGGGCATAGTGTCGTTCCACACACTCCAGTTTGGTTCCCACGTATGACGGACCTCATGGCCCCGTCCGCAATGCCACCGGCTCTCTCACCGACGACCTGGACCTTCTTGCGCTTCTCCACGGTCCAGAACAGGGGAGCGCCCGATGTCACCTCACACTTGTACCAGCCGGCGGCGTCCAGGTCCACTTGCGACAGGTAAAGGTCGTGCTCGTTGGACCGGGCCACCTGAAATACAGGCGGCCAGCAGATCAGAACATTGCACTTTAAAGGGGTGTCACACCTTTGAGGCACATTTCAAAAGCATTCCCCATTGAAACTTCGGAACCAATTACGTTTAATAATAACACTGGGTAGTGTCACTGCAGCACCGTCAAGATATGGTAAGGACATCGATTTTGTTAATTTTCGAGTCCAAATTACGCTGTTAATGCTTTGTAACGGCACAGCGCTTCTTCCCTGCAGTTGTCGCGACCCGAGTCGCCACAACGATAACGTGCACACGTCTATTGGTGCGATTAAAACAATGTTTGCGATTGGCCCAGCGAGTGGTAAGGGTCTGTTACCGAGAACCACATTAGTTGGAGTGTGTACCAGTGCATCACTCTAGGCTATGTGAAACTCCTGTTCCCAAAGTCAAAATGCGTTTCGAAAAGGGCGGCTGGGGTAAACGCCATTGGGGAGAAACCAAAACCATAGTATAACGTTTCGTTGAATTTGCGGGATAAGATCTTCACGTTCGCATATCTTTGTTGTTTAAACAGTGTCTAAACTTTTATAGTGTCTACTACATATACACTTATACGAATTAGTAACTGTAACCGTGGCAAAAAGGACACAGCTTTGAAAAACAAGATAAATGAAATGTGCTCCTTCCATAGTGGTGGGCAGGGAGTCAAATGGGATTCGTCCTGCAGGGTCGGCTGCTTCAAATCAAAGCCCTGAGTTGTTCGGAAGGATTTCGAAAAATCGGCATTTTTGATCAAATCGAACGTGTCTGATCCAACAATAAATAGAAAGTACAAAAAGGTGGCATGCCCCATTAAGTGGAACCATTCTGCTGCATTGTCTGAATCACAGCAACCAGGTGAGAATTGTCTTAACAGCCGTATGCGTGGAACGGTCTTGAGGCTTGTTGCTTCAGGAGAGTGTGTCTAGTCATATAGTGAATTTCAACTGTATACGCAGGATTGAAAAAAAAGATTTCTATCAAACGGTATCAGCCGTTTTTTTCATCAATATGTTTCCGTTTACCAGACATTTCAAGTGCACGGACAACAATTTCTGGTAGATTAAATTTACCAGGTACCCTAAAACGTTGTTTAGCCATTCATCGGAAAGAAGCACGCTTTGCGGTTGATGACATCTATTCATCCGCGCGGAAGATAGTCTGGGCCGTACGTTTCGCCTCTTTAACTTTTACATTAACTGACACACTCAGAACATGTGTTATTGAGGCTTTACGACGCACTCAACTGCTGAGGCTTTTTGGTGTCGCCCACCTCTTATTCTGGCGAGAAGGGAGGGCACAACGAACCCCACCCCGTATCTATGATTTCTCAGACGTGCAGCTTACCCGCTGTACCACTGGAACGCAATGCTCAGAACGGATCAGACCGTTCGGCACCGCGAACTCTTGGCACCAAGGGTTCGCGGTGCCGAACGGTGCCGAACTCTGTTGTTCGTGCTGCTGTAAGGGCTAATCCATTCAGAGAAAACCTCAAGATTACAAAGATAAAATGTGGTTCCTGTGGATGCCATCACCTTTCTCGGCCAGGAGCTACAGCTCTTTCGGTCCCAGCTTGGGTCCCTAGTGGCTGTCATTCTGGCAGAGCAGAAGTCGAGGCCACCTCGTCGAATACGAGGTTCTCGGAGGGATGAGTCATATGTCTCTCCTCTCCCTGACGCTCCGACTGATCACGCTTTCGGAGGGATGAATCACATGTCTCTCCTCTCCCTGACGCTCCGACTGATCACGCTCTCGGAGGGATGAATCACATGTCTCTCCTCTCCCTGACGCTCCGACTGATCACGCGGGCCTACGCCACGGCAGTTGGCCCTTCACCGGCTCTGCTGGGAACCGTAATACGACTTCCGGACAGTCATTTCCAAATGGGCCCCTTAAAGTGAGAGTTTCGTATCTTTGTGGGGTGTTGAACTAAAATGGCAGTCTCGAAGACCATTCGGCCTAGTTCAAAGCCCCATCTACCTTAAGACTTAAACCCCTCTTACCTCTGAACTACACACCCGTCAAATGTGCAGAATATTTCGGGAGACTATTTCAAGGTCACTAGGGCACCAATGACGTCATCATGACGTCATTAAATGCTGTCAATTCATTGGCTAGGCGACGATCAATGCAAAGAATAATATAATTTTTGAGTCGTTCATATCCGGCGTTCAGGAGCATAGTTGTAATGTAACTCCGATGTCCCGATGTAACGACTGTCAATCGGCTCTCAATCAATGTTGTGCACGATACAATGACGTAATCCAGCCATGGGGTGCTGAGGGACATATTTACCAAAATGAGGGTAGAATGTTGTCCAGTGCAGTCTTTTCACACTTTAAACTCACCAATATTTATAATTGAGTCCGTTCAATTACATCTGATGCTTGCTCCAATATCTTCGAGTGGGTCCGAGGGGCATGAAGGGCCCCTCGGAACCTTGGGAGGCATGTGCCACCCGCCTGTGCCTCTGGCAGGTTAGGTGCTTGAGTATGCACAGTGTGCGCCGCGCCTGGTGGGCATTTTCACTGAGCGACGGATTTCACTCACCAACTGACATGCAATAAATATATTATATAAACCTGCCGAGCGCAGGTCCCACCCACATCGACCACATCCTCGTGCAAAACAGCGTCGACGAGAGGGGATGAAAGTGGCGATACGTTCTGGTCAAGGCAATGGAGCGAATCTGGCAGTACCGTGTCCCTTATAACAAAGCTATCATATTAAAGGGATCCATCACATGACAGTGCACGTCTTCAGTCAGGCTCCCATAGCCGGCATGGTGCCTGCATCCCGAAATCCGAGCCTTGAACTTCCTCACCAATAGCACTACCTGACCGCATCCGCAGGCCACGAACCTCTCGTTCCGACCCGGTGGTCCTTGTTTAGGATCACTTCCATGGGCCCTTGATTGCTGGTAGTCGCACCCATCACCGTCTCAGGAGGCCCAGGGTGATAAAGCTGGCCGACTTTCATTCTGGAACCCTGGGCTACCCTAGTTTGGTTAATGGGCCTCCTTGCTTGCACGAGCCCTTGCTCAGTGCCAGAGGCCCATTTGTTCGGCATCAAAAGACCCCGGACCGGGAGAGTGACCTTCTCATTGTTTCAGGGGCCCCGGCCCTGAGTGATGCCGAGCAGATCGTATGACTGGTATACGACGGCCACGGCCCTGTCCTCACTGAGCTAGGTGGGCCTCGGGCTAATGCGGGATGCTTGACCAGCATTGGAGCTCCCCTTACCAGTACCGGACCCCTTTGGCCTACAGTGGGACCTTGATGTCTCAAGGAAGATGACCAACGACGGGAAGGCTGCTTGACTATCAATCTAGGCCTTGCCCTGCCCTTGTTCCACGAATTGGGTTCTGACTGGCAAGAGCCCCTGTCCGAACCCGAGGCCCTTAACCGACACTGTATGCTATTGTCTGAGGGTCTCTTTGTGATGCAACAGAGGTTGCCATGACAAATTCGCTGACTATGGCTGTTCTCCCGATCGGCTAATGGGTTCCTCCTGGCTTGCAAGAAGCCCCTGTTCAGTGTAGAGACCCCCTGTTCGGTACAGGGGATCTTCTGTTCAGTACTGAGGCTCCCTAAAGAACAAAGGGGTCCTTAATGCTTCAGGGGCCCCCAAGAACGACGTCTGAGGAGTCTCTATCTGACATTCTGAGTGCTGCTCCAGCCCTGTTTGGCTGGTGGACCCTTGCCGGGCACGGGGACCTTATTCAGTTTTGGGGCCCCCGTTGACAGGGCTTTAGATGGCCCTGTCAATGCTCGTCAATACTGCTGTCAATGCTTCAGAGGCCCAAATACCGCCTTATCCTGACCGGAATTTTGGGGACCCCTCGGCCGACTCTTCGGCCCGGCCGAGGGGTCCCCAGACCACCAGAGGCGGGGGAGGGCGGTACAGTCCCCGTAGGCCCCTTGTACCCACCCATGAACGAGCGCCGTTAACCCAACCCTTGCATTTTGAGAAAATTGATATAGGAGAAACCTGTCATCACATCAGACACCAGAGGAGCTCACGGCGCACGAGGCGCTTACACACTTAAATGCTGTAACATCTGATACTTTTTACATATCGTCTCTCAGCCTGCTAACCAAAGCAATGTCAAAGTCTTTCTATGCACTGCAGTCAACATGCATGGTAAAAAAATAGTTTTTAACTGCCTCCGTGTCGATGCATGCATTGATGGCACGCTCGTCTAGAACATCATTTTTAATTCCCTTCCGTTGCGGGCAATAGCATAACGAGACATGTGACAGCTCACGGTATTTTGCCAGTGGTATTCAAAAATATAACTTCTGTCTCCCCGCTCCTGCACCGCGGCGGTGACCAGTGTGTGGGTGGATTACAATGTTGATTCACGCAATATCTCACAGGGGTTTATTGTCTCAGTTGAAGCTATCTAATCAGTTGGCTTGTCCGCGAACGGCAGCACACGTAATCAATCATATTTTGTTTAGATGTAAGAGTCGTTTTGTTTGCTCAGAAGGCGTGGGTGTCTTTTGCATTTTTAACTTGCGGCACATACAAGTTGTGTATCATTGGAGATCGTCCAGCAGGAACGGTATCACGACCGATCGGAATGCTCTAGCCATGTGTGGCTTTTACATGTGACCTAAAGTCCTGAAATGCAATGCAGTGTTCTCATGTCAGTGATGAACAACATCGGGAGCCTTTGACTTGCCCCCTCCCCAAGCGAAATTTGATTCACATAGACAACAAGGTACATAAATTATGCTAGCACTCACTATCACCGATTGATGGCAGCTCACGGCACATATAACCGCACTCTGTGAACGGTACTTATCCACCTAGTCAATCCAGCCTATCTCTCCCTGTGCCCATGTCCCGGAAACGGCTCCTAGTTTTTTATCTTTAAATCCAGAGATCACTCCGTACCTTGTAACTACCGTGCCATCTCCAGGGTCACTGCAATAACCAAAATTGTCCAGCGTGTTTTGCACGGGCAGCTTGACGGCCACCTTTCCCATCACCA